TTGATCATGATGATTTTGTGTGGTTATGTGATGCAAACTAAGTAAATTATCATAATTTGTGATAAATAATACATTTTAAAATGTTGACAGATGTAGCTTTTGTACTACAAAACTGTTTTATGTAGCCTAGAGGTGAAAACTGAAATTTACATATTGTTGAAATTTCAGTTATAATTAGTCCTTTCAGGGAAATGGAATGTCTGCTTATATGTTGGCAATGCATTTATTCTCTTGGGTCATTTGGGTAACCATTAAGGCAATAGAAGGGGTAAACTGCTAATTATTAGATATAAGATTCCAATTTTCTTTTAAATTTGTCTTTATGCTAAGGAGTCTGCTGTGACAGTCTCCAAGTTATTTTACAGTATTTATCCAAAAGGATCAACCTGGTTACAATCTAGCAGATCATATTTTATTTTGTTTTAAAATGTGTGTATAAAATTATTTTGTTATTATAAATTACATTTGAATATTAATTACTATTTGTATTTTGAATGAACACATTTCTGATTTTATTATCCTTACATTGTTATTACTTTAAAAAACTGTAAGTAAAATTTTAACAAATTACTTTAAAATGCTAAAATTTTTAAGCTGTTAATAGGCTGTGGTAATCTATGCACTTTTATATTTCCATCTTTTTGTCTTTTGAAAAGTCTAGAAAATAAGCACAAATATAACAGCAAAATTGAAGCAATTAAAATTTTCTGTTGTGCTGGGGGTTGTGATGCATGCCTGTAATCTTAGCACTCAGGAGGCTGGGCAGCAGGATCATAGTGAGTTTGAAGCCAGCCTGGTGTACTAATTAGTTCAAGGCCAGTCTTAACTATATGGAGACCCTATCTCAAACAAACAAACAAACAAACAAACAAACAAATATTTCCTGCTGTTACATTCATATGAGCCAAAAGGAGTACACTTGATAGTGTATGTTGGTATGCGTTTATGGTTTATACTTTGGGCCTAATATGAATTAACTTTAATTTTGGGAAAAATTTTATTAGCTTCCAACTAACACCTAACTTACCTATTTTTCAATAAAGGTCACATGGAGTATATTCCTACATTTTTAGAATACTCATTCTGCAGTTGATAGTAATTTTATTAAATCTACTCTAAAAAACGGGGAAGAGGATCAAGTGTAGTACCTAATACTATACCTAGCAGACAGGTAGTACACAATAGGCACTCAGTAAATTTTGTTAGCTGACATATTTAACTATGGACTTGGTCTGGTGAGAGATCAGAGGACACAAAATGTTAGAAGTAAAGCACAGAAGGAAAGTATTTTGTGACTTTAGATGACTGAATCTCTCTCTCCCTATATACATAAGTGATAAGGTTTTTCTATAGAATTAGGGAAAGATAAATCCTACAGGTCAAGTAGACTGGTTTAATAGTCTAGCAGTAATAATAATCTTTCCATTAGCATAGTCTGAAGTTGCACAAATTACCAAGCCCGGGTGTGGCAAGGCAAGATGGGTTATCATGATGGTTCTTCGGATGTCACTATGATTTAGAGGATAGGTAGTTAAGAACATTATGGTTCTGAAAAAGAATTATCTTATGTTTTATATTATTGTATAATTGATTTCTAGCAAATTAGAAACTAAACAAAATCAAAATTAGGCATACATGAAGAGAACTGAATTTTAAACTACTTTATTTCATTTACTTTAAAAATTTGAACCAGATTCAAATGAGAGAAGATTTAGACTCTCCTCTTCAACTTACATCCCATTTTTTATTACAAATTCAGTTAATTAATTAGAATACACAAGAGAGAACTTAATAATAAAGTTGACATTACAATAAGAAACAAAAGCTGTGAAAACCTAAGCACAAGCTAGGAGAGTGTGAAGAGAAAAAGACTGATGCATTAAATTGGGATTCATATCATCATATTCCTAAATTTATAGTAAATCTGCCTGTATCCTACCATGACATTACTCATTGAAATTCTCTTCTGGGTATATAGCTGATGCTTTTAAAAATGCAGTTTAAAGCTAAGCAGATAAAACATGATCCTTTAAATGATTTTTTCCTTAGGCTGTGAATTGACTTAGGAAGCATTCTTATACCCAAACTTTAGGTACACATCAACATATTTTTCAGATTTGGTCTCTTCAACCTCTTAATCAAAGTTGCTTTCATGATATTCACGAATCAATAATTCAGAACTAATCTCACTCTCTTTGCCACCATTGTCAGATGGTTCAAGGGTTCTCATCTTGTACCTGCTCTCACTGGTTATCAGAGTTTTGGTCAAGCAACTAAAGTGTCTAAACAGAAACATGACCTTATTGAAATACAGGAAATAATGTATGTAAACTGGTCAGCATGGAGACTTGGACATTTTACTACTCAGGCTACTAAGTAACTGAAATCGTCCAATGTCTCTTCAGCCACTTCAGGATATGGGCCAGTACCTTAACACGGCTAACAGAGCACCTGAATATTGGCCCCTGATACAACTCTTAACCTTAGTTTGCCACCACTTTACCTTTCATGTCCCCTCCCTGCAGACAAACCAAATTATCTACTCTTCAGATTTTTTTTTAATGCTGTCTCAGGCCCTAGTGCCTTTGTTTTTCCTTGATTACTCCCAGCTTCTCATTCTCCAGAAGCCTTACACAAACCATCCGTGTTGAATTTGGGCCCTTTCTCTTTACTGTCTTGTACATATCTTTATAATGGTACATGTCAACAACCTGATATTTTAAATATCACCATTTTCTACTCTTTTTTTTTTTTTGTACTGGGGATCGAACTTGGGTCCTCGCACTTGCCAGGCAGGCGGCAGAACCACTGAGCTAAATCCCCGGCCCATAATCACCATTTTCTTTCCACAAATCTAGATTGTAAATTATGTGAAAATGAAAGCTACAGCTCTCGTTATTGCTTGTAACATCAAGGCCTCATAAAGACTATGACACATAATAAGTGTCCTATACGTATTTGTTGACTGAATAAATATTGAACTGAGTCATTAGTAGTATGGGACTTTTTAGGAAGTCCCAAAGGAAGAAGCTTTGCCTCCAAATAACATCTGAGAGAATTCTTGTCCCCAAATTACGACATTTAAATGTGTCAAACTTTATGTTTGAAATCAAATCAAATTTTAATATGGCAATCAGAATTTATTTTTTATTAAATTAGATTTCCTTCCATAGGAAAAAACGACCCAAATGACCTATTTAGATGTAGTGAAATGAGTTTATCTAAGGGCACATTTCTAACTTAATAATACAATATTAAAAACATGCCAGACTTTTAAAAGTTAGGTGAATTTCTTCATCTGTGAATTAGAATAAGAAAACTGAGAGCATGTTAACTTTTTCAGCCTATTCAATGAGCTTTCTGTAATGAATAATACATTTTAAAGTAAACACTATAATCCCAAAACACAGCCTGGAAAAGACAATGATTTGTTTCTTACACCAAACTCTCCTTGGACCTTGGTTTACACTTAGGCTATGACTTGATGTATGGTTAGGGAAAAAGTCAGAATATTGTAAGGATACTTTTGTGGATAGCTTTATAAAGATTTTATTGTGGATCTATTTTATATGATCATTACATTCTACTCTCAATAATTTAAATTCTAGCAGGAGAAGTCACTAATCCCCAGGAGGATTATAAATGACTATACTGCTATTAAACTTAATCCAGGTCACAAATATTCATTTTAGTCATTAGTTTACTCTTTCCCTAAACTGTGTTCCTTCTAATCTTAAATAGGTCACTGCTTTTCCATGTTTTTGGTAGATATAATTGTAATAAAGAAATACTTTTGAATCATTTTCTTCATCAACGTAACAACAACAATAACATTTTTTTCTGTTATAGAATTTGAAATCTAAGCAATATCTGTGCCAGGAAAGGACAAATTGGAGAAACTGTAGCCTATTTGATGGTCATATGATTGCCACTTTGTAATAAAAGACTGAGATGGGTGATGGAGTAGCTCAGGGACTAGGTCTTAGAAGAAGATAGCCTTCACTTTCAAACTTTAGCTTAGCTTCTTATCAGCTGTATGAATTTGAACAAATAGCTTAACTTTTCAGCTTCCTTATAAGTAAAATTAGGAAAATAATACATGCCTTGCTGGATATTGAAAGATTTGAATAAGATAATTCATGTAAAATAGTTATTATTTCAGGCATTTGTTAAGGACCCAATAAATGGTAGCTATTGTTACCGATAAGAAATTATTATAATAAATTTGCAATTCCTGAATTATTATATCAATGTTACATTTCAGTGAAGAAATTTTAATTTTTCTATACAGTTACATAGAAAGAATAATCTATCTTACCCTTACAAAAAAATAGCAGAAAAATGGATTTTTCAAAACCAAAAAGAATTCAAAGGTAGAACTAGACTTGGAATGAGTAAGAAGAGATTCTAAATCCTGTATTACTTGATGTTGGAATACCTCACTCCATTTATTTCCCATTTTGGTTTTAAGTATGTTGAGGCTATAAAATAAATGTGTTTCTAGTTAAGCCCATGCATCTATGTTTAAACTTATAATGTGCATTTCAGTGGAGTGTGTCTTTTCAGCACTGTTTGTATTGATCTGAGGTAACAAGCCCAAACTATTCAATTGGGAATTAATTGCTAAAATCATTTGTTCATGGCTTTATTCTCTTTCAAGTTTCATTAGAATTATATTAGGATTCCAGGAGTGGTGAACAAAATTATGTTAACATCATCCATCCACTGAGATTCTCTAAGAAAGAGTTTGAGTGATGAGTTCTGCATAAAGGGACATATTTAGGCCACATTAAGATTATGGCAGAGCAAGGCACTTATTTCAAGAAAGCATTTAATGGTGGCATCAAAACATTAACTGAAATGACTGTATGAGCATTTACATGAACTGAATCCCATTTGGAGAGGCTATTAAAAATTTGAGAAATCTAGTTTTAAAATATCAGGTCAAATTGGAATGGTCCTAAATTATACCTTACTTTATATCCTTGTGTAAAACTTACTTTCATCTCCTGTTTCAAATTCAAACTTCTGACTGAAGCCACTGTATCCTGTTGCAGTCCTCACTCGGATATGAAATATGTACTTGGTGGCTGGCTTGAGACCCGTGATGATGACACTGGGGGCCTTGGACCTTGTGGAGGAATAGGTGAGCTGCTCATGCTCCTGGGGGACAGAAAAGAGGAGAAAGGAAATGAAGCAGTGTGACCCTGCCTTTGCCTAGAGACATTCCAAAGTTAAACTGAGGAACTATGCTCTGAATGTCAAAAGTATTGATTAAAAAGAAGTATAAGTGTGTCTTTCCATAGTGTAGCACTTAGTTGCTTATCACTGTGATGTATACGATATGATCCTGGTTTGGAAATTTGTTAGGGAAGATGATTATTCTTATGTAAACTACACTTATATTGTTGGTGATTTGTATGGGGTGATCAAAAATTTGGTGAACACTTAAATTAAAAATTATTGTAGTAAAAGACACATTGCCATAAATTCCTTTCAAGATACTCCCTCGTACTTGGACACAGTTATCCCATCCTTCTTGCTATTTTCTGAAACAGTTCTGGAAGTTTTCTTGTGTGTCTTTAGCTGCATTATTATGGCTGCCTTGATGTCCTGCATCAATTCAAAAAATTCACCTTTCATGGTCATTTTGATTTTGGGGAAGAGTCAGAAGTCCCATGGTGCCAGATCTGGTGAATAAGGTAGATGAAGACACATCTTAATGTTTTTATGGTCCTTCCTTGCCATTGGACAGCACTTGGCAACAGCATTCATTACATTTTTTATTATACTTTTTAAAGACAGTCATGAAAGAGAACTTCCGGAACTGCTTCAGAAAGTGGCAAGAGCTATGGAATAAGTGTGTTCAAAGTGAGGAGGAGTGCTTGAAGGGGATTAATGGCAATGTTTCTCTTACTGAAATAAATTTTTAAGAATTTGAATATTCATCATATATTCTAAGCACACCTCATAGATTTCTGATCTAACTCTACAGAATAGCGGTGGCATGAGAGCACATTTACACAGAATGGCAGCTACATCTTGAGCAAAATGGGCACATTAGATCAGACCACACAAGCAGAGTGCGAGAAGCAAAGTTAGGAGAATTCAAGTACCCGCTACTCACTTCTACCCGCAGGTAGTGCCAAAATGCCGGCGCTATCCGTGGGTAGACCTGTGGGTGAAAGAAAAAAATAAATTAATTGCTTTTTAAAGTTTGAAATCCCGAAATGAAGCACTTTGATCTTTAGATCAGTGGTTCCCCCAGTAGTTATAACAGAAGCTGAGTCAATTTTAAGAAATAAAATGATGAAAAAATTTTCCTTAATGAAGAATTGATTTTTTTACAAGTTACATAGTCCAAATTGTATAGTGATTGTGAGATTTTAGATTTAGATTGTGAGATTTTAAAATAATTTGCTCATGAAAAAGCACTGAAGACACATGGAGTATGAAAGATACGCCACATCTACAGAATCAGATGCAGGCCTGAGGTTTGGTTTCTAGACTTCTACCTATGTATTAATTGCCAGACTACTTCCCTTCACCAAGGTAAGTGGACCTGCCAGGGCATTCTGAAAGATCTAGTGAGGTCAGGACTTTCATGTAGGCTTGACCCCTACCTCAGAACAGAATAATTCATTTTTCCTATACTTGTAAAGAACAGACCACAAAATGTTGGTGGTGGGAATAAATTAAATGTAATGCTGCTTGTATATTAACAAGTTATCATCCAATTTCTTTATAATAGGTATCTGAAAGAAATTAGGTAGATTGAGAGTCTATAATACGAAAATCTGCAATCTGAAATGCTCCCAAACCAAGATATTTTGAGTGCTAATACAATGCCACATATGGAAAACTTCATAATGGCCTCATATGATATGTCACAGTCAGGATTCTGGTGAACAAAAAATATTGTATGAAATTTTCTTCAGCCTATATGCATATGGTGCATGTAAAATTTCAATGAATTTTGTTTTTAGGCTTGGGTTCTATTCCCAAGATATCTCATGCATAAGCAAATATTTTGAATTCCTAAAGAATCCTAAAGCTGGAAAAATTTTCTGGTCTCAAGAATTTTGTGCAAGGGATAGTCAATCATATTTGTATGAAAAGCTCTTCAAGATTCACAGGTCAAGAAAGCTCAACAGGTCCTTAAGCTAATTTCTATTTTTAAATCTAATGGCAGAAATTTTCAGGAATAGAAGTAACTTTCAAATTCACTAATTAAATCACTCATTTGATGCTTAAATTATATATAATATTTGCATCAAGATTTCACTTGTGATCAGGAAAAATGAGAGGGGGGAAGAGGGAAAAGAGGGGAAGAAAAGTGAAAATTATCAGATAATATATATTATTAGCTAAAATAAATGTAGATATCATGTATTACAAACATGTGCCGATAAAAAACAAAAAAATATTTTATTTATGGTTTGGCTTGTCACCACTGTTGATGAGGAGACTTTTCAGACTAACAAAGTCATAAAACTCTATATGTAGAGCAAATGTGTCAAACTGCGTGTATTTGCTGGTGATGCTTTAAGATTTAGAATTATGAAAATCATTTCCCTTAAGCTACTTTTGAGAAAAAAGTTCTTAACTTAAGGATCATTTTTAAAGTTTATGGCCTTATGTGTCACAGTTTTATATGTTATGTAGTGATTCTGCCTCTGAGGAATTGCATTTGCCATCTATGCCCCAAATAATAAAACTATGTATTAAATATGAAGTAGAGAAAATAGTTAGAGATAGCAATTATTCTACGTTAAATAGACAAAATAGAAAAATTACTATATATATATGTTTCTAGTTAATTTTAAAATTATAAAGCAAATAAATATTTATACACCTAGCATAAAATTCAACAAAATAAAACAAAGTCGATAAATCATTGATGGCTATAATCATCTGCTAAGGGTTGAAAGTTGGAACTTGCTAATAACAAAGGCTTTATAATTAAGGAGGTTATATAGTCATGTTATGGGGTAATTGTTTATAGACTATATGAATAAATTATACTGTATTTAGTAGAAATTTGCAAAACATTTGGAGTTTGCAATCTTATATGTAAGAGGAGATTATTCCACCTTTCATAGAATTTTCTTAGCATAAGAGTTATGGTGTATTTTGAGTGCTGTTTATCAATATGAAATGATGATTGAGAAAGAAACTGTTAAACAGTGAAAAAAGAATTGAGTCATATCCCCAAAGAATAAAGTACAGATTCAAATGTTTACCTTTAGAATGGCCCCATAAAAATACATTTGTTGTTTCACCAAAACATAGCTAAATAGTAATTTACTACTCAGTAAAGTTATAGGAAATAAAGAATACTTTCAATAGGAAGTTTTTTCTTTTCTGCTGTTATAGAGACAAGTGCCTTCACAAGTGCATCCCTAGAATAAAAATCCTCAAGCAGACAATATGCTTAAATGGTCCCTCAGCCTGACTTACTCAACAGCATGACAGCTTCTGCCATGTCTCACATCTTGCCATTTGCTAGTCTGTCATGGAAGAAGGCTCAGAAAGAAGCAGTTTTGAGTTCCTCTCACAGTACAATGACAGCACCTGGTCCTCCTAGTATTTTTTAAGCTCTTGGAAAACCAATTCAGCTTTCATCCATGACAAGTATAGGACACTATTATCCCAGAACTTTGACTAATTGCCTTTCTGCTGACACATCAACTCCAATTCAAAGTACCTGTCACTAGGTAGAGACCATGCTTTGCACAGAGCTCTCTAGATCTTTTTATTCACCCAGTAGACTTAATTCTGAACATATTTGAACAGAATATGTGCACATGTTTTTTTGGAGTTTGTACAGTAGGTTTGTATTATAATGGAATATCTATTTGTATGATATGGTTACTAATCAGATTTCCCCACCACTGGGATGAAATATGTGACGTCTGAAACTTAAAGGATGAGAGATTTAGTGGCTCATGGTTTCTCGTAGGATCAGTCTAAAGTTGGCTGGTTTCAAAGCAGAAATGGTATGGTGGAAGGGTCTGACAGAGGAACAGCTCCCCAGACTATGGCGGCCAGGAAACAAGAAAGAAGGGAGAGACAAGAACGCACCCTTCAAGATGACACCCCAGTGCCAAACTCACCTCCAACCAGGCCCTACCTCCTATCAACGCATTCAGTCACTGAACTTATCAATGGATGAATCCACTGATGAGTTTAGGGCCCCCATGACCCAATCACTTTTCAAACACATGAGACTTTTGAGGAACATTTTAGATGTACATAATAATCTTCCAACCCTGGCCCACCAAAAACACTTGAGTTCATCTTATTATGCAAAATATATTTTGTCTATTTTAAGGGTCATCAAATCTTAACAGTTCCAGCATTTCTGAAAAGTCTATGTCCAAAATCTCCCTTGAGATTCAAGCCAAATTTTAGCTATGAGCTCCTGTAAATAATAAAAGGAAAATTCAGTACTTTGTGTACAAGGGCACAGGGTAAATACTACTATTCCAAAGTGGAGAAATGAGGAATAGAAAGAAATGGGAGCAAGATGAAACCAAAACCCACCAGGAAAAACATTATATCCTGCAGCCCCATGTCCAGCATCTTGGGTATGTTGTGGTGAGATATGAATTCCAAAGGGGCCGACCAAACTCCATAGCATAGTCCATAGGAAACACTTTCCCAGATGGCCCTAGTAAGCTGGCCTCTTTAGGGGTAATTTTCTAAAAGCATTTTCCTGTGAAAGGTAGAGTCTGGTAGATCAGCTTAAAAGCAGCCAGAAATACCCATGACACAACCTGAATTTTGGTTTCTTTGAAATTTCCTTCACCAGAGCAATTAGTCTAATGTCCTTAATCTCAGGTTTCCACAAAATCTCAGGACATGGGCAAAATGTAGATAAATTTTCTGCCTGAGAATAACACCTATGCTTTTAGTCCTTATTCTCAACTGCAACCTCATGAGCTTGGTCTTTACTATCCCCATTCTCCTCCTACATTGTCAGAAGAGAATGCTCCTCCTCAGAAGAAGCATTCTCCTCTTCTGAGCCATGACCAGTATTGCACATCAAGCATTGCTCACAGCATTCTAGCTGGCATTCTAAATGTTTCCTAACTCTTCCCATAAACCAGTTCCAAAGGCTTCTGAGCTACCTGATCAGGTACACTCAGAGAGATATCAATTTTGTATATTAGCAATTTTGTACTGCTTTGTTGTTGCTAGGAAAAATACCTGATTCCGAACTACTCCATCTTAAAGGAAGTGAGGCTTATTTGATTCATGGTTTTCCATGGGTTCAGGCTAAAGTTTGATGGTTCCAAGCAGAAATGGCATGGTAGAAGAGCCTGGGAAAGGAACAGCTCAGGCCCTGGCAGTCAGGAAGCAAGAAAGAAGCAAGGAGCTGGAGACAAGAACATACCCTTCCAGATTAAGCTCCCAGTGACTTAGCTACAATCAGGCCCCACCTCCTAACAATACAGTTAGCTATAAACTTATCAACGGATGAATGCTCTGTAGAGCATAGTACTCTCTGATCCAATCACCTTCCAAATACAGGAGACTTTTGGGGGGATATTTTAAATCTAAACATAATTGAATGGATGTTGTTAACGATACTAGGTAAAATATTCCATTGTTCATAAATATTTTCTTATGGTTTTGGTTTTTGCTGACTCTGTAGTAAACTTTCCCTTTTCATTCATGATATTATTTCTTTTTGAATTTTTCTTTTCAATAATCAAGCCTTCCAGGGGTTTGAATGAACTTTTGTCTTCATTTTCCTCTCTATTGTTTGTCATCAATTACATTTAATATCTACTTTTACTATAAATTTCTGTATTTTTATCTCTTTATACTTTGCATTAATATTTTTACCTTTTAACTTCTTATACTTTGCACTTATTAACTACTAAATACATTGATTCAAATATATAATTTAAGTTAACCAGTTTTACACTAAGTACCGTAATGGTTATACTTTTTATGTTTTCATAAGATATATTAGCTAATCAATTCTAAGTATTTACTAACTTCCAAAATATATTATTTTAAAAACTTCTTTGTGGGGGATCCAGGATAATTACCTGCAACTTCTCTGGATCAAAGCAAGTTTTCAGGCAGCAAATAGATGATCTAATGTGTATCTTTCATAGGTGGCAAAAGACTTTGATGTGTGAATGCACAAAGGAGGCTCAT